TGTGACGAGCCAACGACATACCCCACCGCCCCTCACATCGGACATGGAGGTAACGGACATCGGACAACGGGAAGTGAAAGATGAAAGTGACATGGCCCAGTATTGACGTGATACTGTACTGCCTTAATAATGCATCAAGATCATACTCGTGTACTATTGCCCGGAGTACGTACAACTAGTTTCAATCAAAATCGTTGAAAGGTTTCCAGGAGCAGCATATCTGTCTATCAAACTTGTTTTCAATCACACCTAAGACGAGTGTGGGGTGATTCAAACATGCTGGTTGAGCCATGTGTACTTATTGTCAAACAGGACAGTTTATATCAAGTAAGGTTCCCATTGTACCAAAAGAAAGGGTTGAGACAAATGATGACCGTCGATAAATGGAACTAATGTAGATTTTTTTTGTTTATTTATATCCATGTATTTATACACATACACTAGACACACAAAAGAAACGTTACCCTCCTACCTTTATGAATTACTGAAAAACTATCAAAGATATTTTATAAGTTTTTTAGTTTACAAGAAAGCTTAACAACACAACTTTATGCAACTCACAAAAGAAATTCTCAAATGCATTCATACTCTGGGGAAATGCATATGTTTCATTTGAACACTTTCTAAATGGCATTGTCTAATCATAGCTTTCGGCCGTTGGAGCCGTGCCAATTTACACTTATCAGAGGGGTACACAAAGTCCGCAGTCTAGACTACCAGTTGTCCGACTTTCGATTTTTGTGGAAGTCGCGGTGGCTGAGTGGGTTGGGCGGCTGACTTTGTGTGCTGGCGATTTGGTGCCTGACTCTGAGGGTGTGGGTTCGAATCCCTGATGGAACTCAATTCAAAAAGTACGAGAATTAGTACTTTACTAAGAAAGTGTAATCCCAAATATAACATATGTTGCTATTAAACTTTGTCAGTGTAGGTATCACCGCCATATATAAGACAAACAATGTGCGCTGTGGTCAAACAACGGGCTCAGCTAGCTGATTAAAAACAAGGGCTCCTGCCCTGGGCGCGAGATGAACAGATAATAGGCGCCTCTCGGGTAATCTCGAAGTAATTAATTACGGCCCGTTATTATTCCTTTATGAATTTATAAGAAATAAAAGAGATTTTAATGGTAACATCACAACTACAGATATGAGAAAACAATAAAGTGGCAGAAAAAAATAACGTCTTAATTAGGAATGTTTACAGAGTTTTCCGAGCCGGACGGAATCTGTCGCAGATAACGTGAGCAAATACGTGTGACAACTACTCTACACGACTATACTGTCTCACAAACCAATCATCGCGCCATTGTAACACGGTTAATGAAAGGAAGAACAAATCCACATCGAGCTTTACGGTCATCGTATCCATAAGCGTTTACCCCCTTGATGCCATAGGGCCATATATGTCCAGGGTATTAAACTTCACTTTTAACTCGAATAATATATCACAGACATCACAATCACAAATACACCATGCAGTTTGGACATCTGGGGAATTTTCCTGTATCATGTAACACCAAGTGGCATCTGAGGTAAAGCAGACATTTGTGGAAATGATCTGTGAAAATTAGGTACACCTAAATCATAGGTACACCTACAACATGAAATCGCCATTCAGTATTTCGTGTATGTTTGAAGTGTAAATTTCAGATATTTCCTCATATTTTAACAATAGAACTTTAGTGATCCCTGATGTCTGTTTGTCATGAAATCAGCAAAGGTTACACTGAAAGGTCGCTGATAACCCTAGAATCGGCTGTGATGTTTTGGAAAATACACGAACACGAACGCCGAAGTGAGCCATCCGCCATATTGGATAGTGTTTACAAACTCACGTGTCGTCCGGCCATGAGACACCTATTACGTCAGGTATATACTTCACGCTCAGCTGCGACAAATACATCACAGGATTTCTCATACATTTTAGAATCAAACAACAAAAGGTGTTTGTCATCAATAAACGTGTCTAAATATACTTGGTGTGAAAACGATGGTTGCGCTCATAAGACTTGGCTGGAATGAAATATGAAAGAGAAAACCAGATTTTACACGGTGTAGTTATCTCTCGAAATTTAAGACATCATTCGTCTATTTGTTGCATGCATTGTCTCTGTACTTTTAGAATATGCACAGGGAGAGTTTTGTAGGAGGACGTTGGAAATTTACTAAAATAGATACATGACAATGATTTCGTGAATTCAAACAAAATTGTCCAAGTTACCGTCCTGAATGACGTCATGACCGACGCAAAATCACGCACAACAACAACGGTATTTGCGGTATTAATATTTCTGACTACTTCTCTTGTTTGCAATTAAACACAAATGACAATACGCAGATAATCATTGGTTATTTTTTTCTGATCACTTACATCACGCCTTTTATGTTCAAACGATCCCTGAATCAAGGGAAGGTCCCTCGCAAAATGTAAACAAATCGGTCATCCGTAGTGATGTCATAGCCAACATTGTTGTACATATTTGGCAGTTTGAGGTGGAAGTCGGTTGAATCAGAGTAAAACACAAACATTCCATCCGACTGCTCACAGTTTCAGTGTTATAATGTATATTTTCATCTTTTAAATATTATTTGGGCGAAACTGAATTCATTATCTAGATCATTATTCATGCGTGGATATAGGCAATGCGATTTGTATGTTTTGAAAGCTTTTCCTTGTTTTACGCGAGAAATTGAGTCATCAAGCGTAGTACGCCATATTTATTACCTTTACACAAATGTTAGAAGATAAAACGTTGGCGTATCTGCAACATGTACTTCAGTTCCTGTGATGTGCAATATTCAATAGACATCAATTTTAACTTAATCTTATGTGTAAAGCTTACAATGATAATTTAAGAAAATGTTTGATATGTTTTATCAAATGTATATGCACACAGTTTTAAAGGAATTGTCTTGGTTATGGAATTTGTTTATGCCGTTTTATAGACAGAACAATATTGTATGATGACTGGCCAGGTGCACGCTTGACAATCGTTTTATCATGTACTCGCCATGTTTTCTATGATATAATCAATTTATTATTATTATTTGATAATATTGTGATGTTGTGATGACAATAGACAGTAACTATATTTCGACAAGAATTTAAAACATATATCATATATCTTCCTTCGGCCAAACCTTACATTATTCTGATAGTCCCAAACACAAGGAGCTCTTTTTCTTTCATTGTATACTTGAGATTGTTGGTTTAGTTTGTTGGTTTACGCCGTACTCAGCTATATTCAAGCTATAGATATACATATGGCGGCGGTCTGTCAATAATCGAGTCTGGACCAGACAATCCAGTTAGCAGCAACATGAGCAGCGAACTACGCAGTTGCGATACGACGACATGTGTCACTTCCGGGGACTCACGTGATCCATCAGCAATACGGGGGATATTGTGAGTGATTGGGTCGGGGTAAACACTTGCAGCATGGACAGGGAAGGCTCCAGTATTTCTATCATGGCGACAACACGAAAAGAAAAATGTTCAGGATGTATCTGAGATCTGAAATATGTACCATGAAATCCTGCATCTACGACAGTGACAGTGACATCACCGAAACGATTGATGTTTTTTTTTGTTTTTGTTTTTTTCTTTGTTGTTTAACGCCGCACCCAGCAATATTCCAGCTATATGGCTGCGGTCTGTAAATAATCGGGTCTGGACCAGATACTCCAGTGATCAATAGCATGAGCATCGAGCTACACAATAAGGTGAAATGTGTCATAGAACTCGGTTAATAATGGTGCAAAATAAAGAAAAACTGCGTCTAATATTTCTACAAGAACTGACTTACATATTGGATAGGGCCACCCATTTCGCTATTACGTGATGTCACATTTTGTGTAATTTCAACATTTCTCGTAATTTGTGATTCTGCCAAAACGTATGCAGTTACAATGTGGATATAGGAATAAAATGGTTCATCGTGAACGAAAACTCAGAAAAAAGTGTCCTTATCCACAGTCCATTCTCTCCAAATGACCTCAGTTACATTGGGGGTGGCCGGGTAGCCTAATGGTTAAAGTGTCCGCTCGTCACGCCGAAGACTCGAGTTCGATTTCCCACATGGGTGCAGTGTGTGAACACCCAAAAGCAGCGTAAAACCACACCCACCCACTTATTACTTATGAGCCATGACGTCAACTAAAATGTTGATAATTTCAGTAATTTCATTACACTTAAACATACGCTTGAAGAACTGTCGCACAGTGCGGTTATCTGTGTACGATAAAAGCGGCGAAATGTACTGTTTTTAACGCATAACAAAACTTCAGACAAGATTTAGCAGTGTCTATTTTTCAAACCGCGTATAAGCATTTGCACTTGAGTTTACATAAGACAGGAAATGTAATATTCTACATTTCTGTGTAATTTTATAACTGTAGGTAGATCCAGTGACGCGAGAACGATGTTCGACTTGTCAGATCTTATGGAAATGTGCGTCAGAAAATAAAACTTTGGCATCCAGGGGTTTAACCAGTTGTAGTTTTCAAACCGACTAAGTATTTGACTTGAATTTATATACCCTCGGATAGGAAATTTAACTTTCTATATTTCTGTGTAATGTTTGTAGCCGTAGGTCGATCCAGTGCCACGCGAGCAAACATTTTCGCTGTACTTTCACTTTTTAGAATTTATTAAAATGTGCGTCAGAAACAAATCTCGGCATTCAGGGGACTAGTGTAAGACCCTGGCCGCAATGCCGTGACGTCATCAGTAGTGTGACGTCACTGTCAGTGTACGTTGAGCGCCAAATCACTGGCGAACCGCTGCACTCTGAGGTCACAGAGTGCAGCGAGATGTAAACAAACCGTTTGTTGTTGTCTAGTTTGTGATTAATTACAAACTAATGAACATAAACATGTCATGACAAATGATTTACGTAGAATTATATTACGAAATGCCGTGTTAATATACCAATTACTTAGGATCTGTATTTACACTCACCCGATCAAGTTCCAAACACAACAAATGACAAAATATCTGAAAATGTTTCACAAGTTTTATTTTCCTAACATACGTCAAACATCCTCACCTTAATGCTGAAATATAAAACACGATGACGTGAACGTCACACACCACGTCAGTGTCAGTAATGACATGTACTCCATGACTGTCTACACCAACACTACACTGACTTCAGTGTCCACCACGTGACACCAGGAGATCCGACAGTTGAGGATGTCGCCTGCCTCTCGCCACGCCGGCCGCTGTGTGCCCGCCGTTGTTCCTGGCGTTGACGTCCACCCCGCCCAGAGCCAGGACAAACTCCACTGTCTTCCTGTCTCCTCCCACACAGGCCAAGTGAAGGGTGTTGTTACCGCCATAGTCCACCAGTGACACATCAGCACCTCGACTCACAAGGAGCTCAACCACATCCCCGTGTCCCTCACGTGCTGCCACCATCACCGGTGTCCTGCTCCACCATCCTCTACTGTTGATGTCCGCGTGACCCGCTGACAGGATCCGCCTCACCTGCTCCAGGTCACCGCTCCTGCTGGCGTAGTAGAGGTCGTGGTCTGCTTGTGATGGAGTCGCTGTAACACAAAGTAAACTGTGTACACATTGGGACATCTGCGTTGTACATTGTTTACATCACAGAGTGTTGATACAGACATGGACATAGATGCATCATTTAAACAATTCCATGGAGACTTTGGTGAAGGACGACAACTGGTTAATGTAATGAAGGATTGTTTGTTGTTAAAATAAGCCTTTCTATCAATAATATTCTGTGTTTGGCTGGAGAGTGTTCATGTTTGGTGGACAGATATAAGCATATTACACTGGTTTACTGCATCTGTTTTATGACGGAGTCTGATCCTGACAGCCCAGTGACTGACATCATGAACATCAATCGATGATACGTCTGTCTATAAGCTGGTTACTGGGGTAGGGGTTAGCTACCACCTGTTGTGTTCTCCCACCTACCGTCTGTCTATCAGCTTGTTACTAGGGTAGGGGTTAGCTACCACCTGCTGTGTTCTCCCACCTACCGTCTATCTATCAGCTTGTTACTAGGGTAGGGGTTAGCTACCACCTGCTGTGTTCTCCCACCTACCGTCTATCTATCAGCTTGTTACTAGGGTAGGGGTTAGCTACCACCTACTGTGTTCTCCCACCTACCGTCTATCTGTCAGCTTGTTACTAGGGTAGGGGTTAGCTACCACCTACTGTGTTCTCCCACCTACCGTCTATCTGTCAGCTTGTTACTAGGGTAGGAGTTAGCTACCACCTACTGTGTTCTCCCACCTACCGTCTATCTATCAGGTTGTTACTAGGGTAGGGGTTAGCTACCACCTACTGTGTTCTCCCACCTACCGTCTATCTCTCAGCTTGTTACTAGCGTAGGGGTTAGCTACCACCTGCTGTGTTCTCCCACCTACCGTCTATCTCTCAGCTTGTTACTAGGGTAGGGGTTAGCTACCACCTGCTGTGTTCTCCCACCTACCGTGTGTAGAAGACGTTGGTTTGGCCACTGGGAGCAGATGGTCCGTCTCGCCCCTACCCTGACTGGGATCAGTGGAGTCTGAAACAGAAAATAGCCTGTTTAGTAAACTATATAGAGCACATTTGCTTGTTTAGTAAACTATATAGAGCACAATAGCATTACAAATACTGGCCAGGTATACAACAAATAGCCTGTTTAGTAAACTATATAGAGGACAATAGCCTGTTTAGTAAACTATATAGAGGACAATAGCCTGTTTAGCAAACTATATAAAGCACAATAGCATTACAAATACTGGCCAGGTATACAACAAATAGCCTGTTTAGTGAACTATATAGAGCACAATAGCATTACAAATACTGGCCAGGTATACAACAAATGGCCTGTTTAGTAAACTATATAGAGCACAATAGCCTGTTTAGTAAACTATATAGAGCACATTAGCATTACAAATACTCGCCAGGTATACAACAAACAGCCTGTTTAGTAGAGCACAATAACATTACAAATACTGGCCAGGTATAAATAGCCTTTGTTGAGTTAGAATTAAAGTATGCACGCTTATCATAGCATAGTAAACACATGTTCCCAGATTAAGGAGAGCTATCACCGGCCGTGTTTTCCCACCTACCCTGTATATCAGACTCTCCTGGGGGCAGAAGACCCGTTGCACGACCACCTGGATTCCGACCAGTCCAGACTGAAACAGGGCATGGGCTGTTATTAAATATGATGTTAAAATATCACTGATTTCCATTTTTTCCACTAAATAAAATACCGACTTGTTATCAGAATGTCTAATAGTTTTGTATCCTGGGTAATCTCTCAATACAAGTCAAATTTAGACTATTGGAAGAAAAAACACTTTCAGAATCCTATTACATGTACTAACGTTCATATCTCAGTGTCATAAGCTATACAGTGTCTTTGTTTTACCTACCCAGATACATTGTCTCTTTGTTGTTATACGGAATTTGTTGATTACAGTTTTAAGTTGTGTAGTAACATAAGTTTGAACACTAAAAACATTAACAGTTTTGTCACTAGATACACACTCAAGAAAAAGCATATCTTCAATACAGTACAATACTGGAGATGTGAAGCAGTTGTATTGGAACAGGAGGAATTACATCATCTACCGTACCACAGTCTGGATTGATTGGCATATTTGTTTGATTGTATGGATTGTTGGTAGAATGAGAAGGACACGACCACGTGTTCTGGGAAGAATGTTTTTCTTTAGTCTGTAGGGATGCAGTGTTTCTTAGGTTCATAACAGTTTCAGGCAGGTTGGGTAAATTGCTAAATTCAAATTCAAATTAGCCGTACGACATAAAACAGATAGAAAATTATAACGATAGATGTAAACAGCACTATGTCTAACCTAACGGCAAAACATACATATGTGTTTTGTTGCAGAGTACGCAAGTGCAGTAGGTCTAGATCTAGATTATTTATACTACACTGAAATAACATGTAAGTCTATGGAAATTACGTCAAGTGGCACGGGTCTGTGTGGTACAAGGGTTGATATTGTGATTGTCGGTGTGATGGACGCCGATGCTGCGATGGTCTATTTTGCAGCCAGTCAGAGAATAGGAGAATCCAGCACACGTGCCCTTACGAATGTTATACCTCGTCATTCTATAAAATAACTGCTGCAGAATTCTACTCTTTTTCCACACATTTTCGGAACTGTACAGGGTTCGACACTCATGCTTGTCCGCTTGCCCGTGGCAAGTACTAATAAATCAGGGCAAGTAAAATTGCTAAAAGGCTTGCCCGAGTGGCAAGTACATATTTTTTCAACTTCTAACCTCAATTCATTCATTAAAACTCTTCACTTGCTGTGTTTTGTTTGTCTAGTTCTTTCTATACCATAAGTAATATGGGGCAAGTAGTATCTGTGATGGGCAGGTAGTTTAACTTTTCTACTTGCCCTCTTGGCAAGTGGGAGAAATCAGTGAGTGTCAAACCCTGCTGTAATGTGAGAAAGCCTATACTGTAGTCATGGACCTCGTGTGTGGCATGAAGCTTCGTCTACCAAATTATTCACGGCCTAACCATCACGTCTGTGTTGCATATACCTGGCATCAAGGTTCACACATGTGCCCAAATTGTCTCGCATTCCATCGATCGGTAAAATTAAAACAATGTTGGCTCATGAATGTATATATATTGTCGCCGCCATTTGTTTCCGATACAGGCCAGTGTGGTCTGAGTGTAAACTTTGTGTGAGGCAGGCGGGGCATTACGTAAACATATATTGTCAATCAATCTTACTCTATTCACAATTTCTGGATCCATGTTATTTTCACAATAAGTGTAAAAGTAGAAACCAGTAACTCACCCGCCCATCACGCTCAGCACAAGTCATACACTTCGACTGTCAGTCATGAACTGCCTTGACTGGCGACACCACACCGAGAAGGTGCTAGTTATGACGTCACTATGACGTGGCAAGTAGAGTCGGTCATATTTTGGCGCCTGACTGCGTGAACGTATCAACCGCTTGTGAGCCAGGCCTATTGTAGCCTGATAATGATATACTGTCCGGCTGCCAGACGCCACGCCAAGATTAATGTGGTGTGGTATATTCTCAACAGACCCATTATCTAACATATATTCAAACAGACGTGTGTTTTTATTAGGAAAAGTACAGGGTCCAAGTATTGTACCCCTAGTCGACATGCACCTACACCTCTAAGCTTTAGAATTACGTCGCTTCAGTGACATGCGTAAAGTGTGGGGCCTGTTGATGCCTATTGTTGCCAGAATTCTGTCACGTGTTACGGTAAAAAAAATTTAGAGACCCCTCATCAAGGCAATTTTATACAATAGATATCAGAACGAAAAAATCATTAACATAATCCAGCATTGTAGGAAGAACAGCCTGTCGGATGTGGGCAAAACACCATAAAGTTAATTACATCAGTTAAGTCAAATTCCGTCCACGTCACATCCGTGTTTATGTAAGAAATAGACCGATCCAACTGTCAATCAAAACAAGCGCACGCTTCAGTCAGTGAGAAGGTCGGATGTTCCTTGTGGATATGTCTCACTTAACCCCCTTGATGCCGAGGTTTTTTTTCAGGCGCACATTTTCATACGGTTTGAAAAGTGAACGTTGTGCGAGAATTGCGCTCGCGTGGTCCTGGATCTACGTACGGCTATAAAATTACACAGAAATGTAGAACATTAAATTTCCTATCCGTTGGTATAAATATAAATGCAACTGCCTTGGCGGTTTGAGAAATAGACACTGTTAAATGTTGTCCAAAGTTTGCTATGCGTTAAAAAACAGTAAATGTATCCGCTTTTTATCGCGCACCGATAAAAGCACCCCGATAAAAGCACACCGATAAAAGCACTGTGCTACGAATTTTTTAATGTGGCCTCTTTACGGAAAGTGTGAGCGAAGAAAATACAGCCTGATATCTGAACGACATAAGCGTATATAAATTGGGTTTATGTGCTTGTGCATAACGGTATACGCTCAACATTAAAAATGACTCGCAATAAATGTCAAAAATGGATTTTCTTCTATGACGTCAAACGACGACAGAGAGGTCATACACGTATAATGATAAGGGGGCATAACTCCGTTATGTCTAACACTAGGTCAATGTAACTCAGATCACTTGGAGAGAATTTGTTGTGGATTAGGACGCTATATTTTCGTTATTCTATGTTCATGGTGAACAACACTATTCCAATTCAAAGCTTCCCAATGTGAGCGGATGCAGTTTGGTAGTTTCACAATTTACAAGAAAAATGACAACGTATTACATGTGAAAGCACGTAATAGCGATTTGGATGGCCCTATCAAATATATAACTTAGTTCTTAGATTCCCATATTATCCTGTTTGTGTAGATGTAATTTGACTAATTTTGCATTGTAATTACCAGAATACTAGCCATATTTTCAAATGTAATGAAATTGCTGAAAATAATACAAGATTCTAGTTGATGTCATTGCTTGTTTTATGCATTTTGCGACGTCGGAAAAAGACGATATTGGTATGCTGATCAGTATATATCTCACCTAATTTCCATTAATTGTATAAAAGGTCTCGGCTTCTACGTCAGATTTTAACACTCTTTAAGACAAAACATAAAATGACTGATTTTTCCATTTAAATAGTGTCCTGAATATATCAACAATTAGACGGTTTGACAGCGTATCGTATTGTGAACAACACGCGCACCTGTTTGGCATCAATTTAACGTAAATAAAAATAATATTTCACAACACCCGAATATTTTGTTTGACATAAGAATTTGTTTGTTTATGATTATGTAGCTATTTCTCTTCATACGTATGCAATGAAAGATGCAAAAAGATAGCTTTTCATATTTGGAACTATATACATGTATTAGAATATGGATGTAAGATTTGTCCGAATTAACACATGAGATGGTATATATATTTCTCAACAATTTTCCAATAAATGTAGTTAGAGGTTGATTTCCTGTCATCACAATATTATTTAATCGAATATGAATTGATTATATTATCGAAAACAATGATAGAGAATCATAAAACGTTTCCAACAAACGTGCACCTGGCCGATCAATATGCATCATTCTTTTGTCTATAAAACGACACAATGAACAAGGCAATTCCTTTAAATATGTGTGCATATACATTTCATACCATATATAAATCATTTTCATTAATATTATCAGTTTTACAATATAAGGATGAATTAAATCATCGTTCATTAACCTGTTCATATGAAATTGCAATATTAGCCCAAATAAATTGAATATTGTACATCATAGGAACTAAAGTAGTTGCAGTTATGGCTACGTTTGATCTTCTAACACTTGTGTAAAGGTTTAGAATATGATGTATTGCAATAAATATGTCAATTTCTTATGTAAATATGGTTCAAACAATCAAAAACTTTCAAAGAATAAAACACCGTAAACCCTATATGCACGTATGATATGATATTGAACAAGGCTAAATGTAGATACTGAAGTCAGTTTCATGAAAAAGTATCTGAACTATACGCAAAATATACACCATAATACTGACAGTGTAATCGGAAGGATTGGGCGATTGTGTTTACTCTTGCTCAACCGACCTTCACCTCAAAGAAATTGCCTAATATGTAGGACAATATGTTGACGTATGACATCACTACCGCTGACCGATTTCTTACAAAATGGCGGCTTTGCTGACAAGGGTACACAGGATTTTGTGAGGACCCTTCCATTGATTCAGGGATCGTTTGTACATAAATATGAGATGTAAGTAATCAGAATGATTCTGACTATCTGTGTATTGTTATATGTTTTTATCGTTTTCACTATAAGTAAGAGAAAAGGCCAGAAATGCAGATAATTACCGTTGTCGTTCTGCGTGATTTTGCGTCAGTCATGGCGTCACGCTGCACGGAAAGGACAAGGTGGTTTTTGGCCCACAAACAGAATTGGCTGAACACATGTTATTTGTTTAGAGACAAGATGGCTTTGCATAAAAAAACTATTTTTTAAATGATCTGAGGCCATAATTTCAATGCAGAGGGGCCAAAAATGGGTTTTATCAGTTCCCATGAAAAAATAACAAGAAATCTGAAATATCAGTGTGCCATAATGACTTATATACAACTATCAGTTTATTTACATACGAACAGTATCAGTTTTACAACAGGTATTCATGATGAAGAAACATGTCAACATCAATCACA